CCCCCCACTTCTTGCGGTTATATTTCTTTTTTGTTCCCCTTTGTAATGTGTGGTTGGTCTTCCTGTCTTTCTTTGTCTTTTATTCTACGATGTTTCTGTATTTTAGCTCGCTGCCGTGTGCCGGTGGCGGATGTACCATTAGACATGTGCGCTCTTTGCTTCATGCCGGCAATAGCTTCTCCAGGGAAGACGACACTACCGACATGAAACAAGCATCACTTATGTCTAGCGCTACTCCGTCACTGCATGGTACCGTGGCTTGCTTGCGTCCTGTATTGTTTCTTTTGTTTCGCCTTGGTGTTTCTGCAGTTCTTAGCCGTCGCTGTCTTCCGATTGTGGAGTAGCGGTAGACATTTGTGATCTTTGCTTCATGCCGGCTATGGTTTCTCCGATGAGACGCTACTACCGACGCGAAGCAAACGTGACGCATGTCTACCGCTACTCCGACCCTGCCAATGGAGGGCCGCAAGAACAACCCACCGCCTCGTGGTGGACGCAGGGCATGCAAATTATCGTTCGTGGCTGCCTCGGTTTGAGTCTGTCCCTTGCTTGTTGTTGCTAGGCGGGATTCGGGAGGTGGTGCATCACTGGTAGTCAGTCGGGTGTCATGTTCCTGGACATGCAGTGTTCAAACACAGGGTTCACGATAGGTTTGTCTTGACGTGCATCTCGAGTGTGGCCAAGCGAAAGTATTCAGGACTACGTCTTCAGGCGTGATGCCGTGGTTGAACTGCTGTAGACGGGCAGTGCGTTTCAGCACACCGCGTTGGGTGATGGAGCACTTCCACATCCCGTTCTTGACTCCCGTTATTCACGTGGTACAGCTAACCGAGCCTGGAGCCGAACGCAACCCTCTTGAAGACATGATCACCCTTCTCAAGTATGACCTCCGCATCAGCTTTCAGCTTCTTTGCAAACATATCAGCGAGCATGCCATTGTTTACTACAAGAGTGTCAGCGGCAACTTCTGCCAGCCCCCCCGACCTAAGCCACCATCAACCCATGCCACTGACACTTACAGCCCGTCAACCCACACTCTACCCTTCGCCGTTCAGGTAGCTGCGAAGCGACGGGGGGTTTACATCGAAGTAGAAAGAAGTGTTGTTGCGGTAGAAGCACGAATGATAATTCGTCAGAATGCCGGCGACCGCATACTGTTTACCAAGCCCGCAAGCGCTGAGCGCCACCTGCTGCTTCTTGGCATAGTCAACGTACGGCCAGAGGGCCACGATTTTTCCGAACCCCCATTCAACCGAGACTCTGACGGAGCTCATTGCGGTGTCGAAGGCCTGTTCGAAGGCGTTTAACACCCCCTTGAACGGCGCCAGCAACCAGGGCGAAAGGCTGTACGCAGGGTCGCCGAATACGTAGTAAGGGGTGCCTGCTGCGTCGTTCAACCAGTGCTGCAGATCTTGCAGCAGACCACTTTCCCCTACCATGGCGACATCGTGGCGACGCCCGAGGGTTAGGCATGCGAATCATCCCATCGGGGGTGTCGATCGCTTGATACTTCAACGCGTGCTTACGCTTCCAACCATCGTACCACAATCTCTACGCTTAGGTCGCGAGATCGCGCGAATGGTACCGTCGATAAAGCCCCAACAACGCGTGAGCGGGGCACTTTTCTCATAAATTGTCTGACAGAACATATCTATCTTTGATAGAATAGCATCGCGTTGCAGCTCGTTTACCAGGTGACCCTAGCGATCAAAGATCGCTTCGATGGTAAGGTTGAAGATCTCGCATATCATCTGTTCCGCTCTCCCCCAAAAGAGCCGGTCCCGGATCAGCGTCGTCGGACATGCCAGGCGCCAATTCGTCACCGCCAGCGCAAGGTCGATAGGAACCGTGGAAACTCGAAATCCTCCCCTGTTGAGGGAACAGACACAAGGAGCAAAGTCATGTGCCATTGCTACCGTCAATTTCGGTGTTTTAGGGCGAAAACGGGCAGGGGGGGAAGTACCACGCGTGGTGACGCATGGAGACGAAAGTGACGATCTGTGCTATTATACACTTGTAGACTGCTTTAGTACAACAGGTATGTCCTCAAAAATACATTTCAAAAATCAATACTGCTGTACCAACTGCTTCTCTGTCATTGCTGCTGTCTCAAACTATGTGCACCTCTGTGATACTCAGGACACGGGTGTTATTCCCTACGTGCTGAGATGAGAAGCCTGTCCACAGCAGTAGCACAACCCCGGCGCGCCCTGCCCGTCGCATACAGCAACTACCACAGAGCTCTCCAACGCACACGACTCCGACTGACCTGTGAAATTCGATCTCCTCAGGGAGCTGCAGCTCGTGCAGCAGCTCGCGGAAGTGAGGCTTCTCGAACCTAAAGAGCTCCTTCAAGTCCAAGCCTCCAACTGCATCGAAGAAATTGTACATCGGGCACACACCCTCCAGGATGGTTGGGGCTATCAGTTCTTCATACGCCTCCAACTTCGATACGCCAAACATGGCCATCCCGACGGAGCCTGCTGCACGCTGTAGGTCTCAGTCCTCGGGATCTTCCCCTAGCTCCTCCTCGTCGTCTATCCCACCACTGTTTCC